AAATTCGAAAATTTCGACACAAAAAGAAGAGAAATTCGGTTCCCTCACCAAAAGGAAAAACCGAAAAAAAATAAAGATAAGATAGACAAAATATCGATCAGCACCTCTCAACTAGAGCACCAAAGATGACGGATCGATCTTTTGTCTATACGGGTTGCGAATAAACGGCGCACTCAGGGCCTTCGTTTATTCCCTATAGATGTATCTAGCAGACGCACTGCGGCCTTCTCCTAGACACCGTGACTTCAAGACGCACTATTGGCCTTCTCTCCGACACTGTATGTAAAGACGCACTAATGGCCTTCTTTTTCACACGTTAAGAACACAAGGTTCCCCCTCAAAATTGGCTCACCAATTCAATACTCAATTCAAGACATCTAAAATAATGATGAGGTACATGGGGTATTTATAGGTTTAAAATAAATCTAAGCCTAAATCTAATAGATCTCCTAAATCATGCAAGAATAGAAATCCTAAGTCTAGAAAGCAAATAAATCCTAAACCTACCAAAATACTAATGCTTGGCTTGAACACCAAGCAATTCTAGAAGCTCCCTAATTAACCCTACATGCTCAAACTCTCGGCGCTATCATACGCACGCCGCCGACCCTCGGCTCTCCTATTCCTTGGCGCGTGAGGCATCGCGCGCCTCGTCCGCGTTGCACGCGCGCACCCTTGCGCGCCCCCTATCCGCGCTGTCAGCTTCCTGCGCGTGCGCCCCCTCGCGTGCCTCACCCAATCCTGCTCCGCCTAGGACACCTTCCGCGTCATCCCACTCGCGCACCGTCGCGCACGCCCTTCCTTCGCCGATCTCCTCGCGCGCGTTGTGTCGCGCGCCCGCGTATTCGCTGTATTCGTGCGCTATCGCGCGCATCTCGCCACTGCCAACCTTCTCGCGCGCGTCCTCGCCACCATCCGTGGCCCGCTCGCCTACCTCGCGCCCATCCGCATCCGACACCTCGCGTTCGCCTGTCGCGTGTCCAGCGTGCGTCGCGTCTTCGCCGCCTGACGCCCGCACATCACTGCCAGCTCCCTTGGCCCGTTCGTCCGTCGCTGGTGCATCATCATCGGCCGTGCTCATGCGTTCATCGTCTCGTTCTGTCCATTCGCGCGCATCATGGGCCGATACGCGCCACTCGTCCATTAGCCGATCATTGTCGTCCTTGTCACCACTTGTTCCCGTCGGCTCGGGCCATGGATCCCAACCCTTTAATCTCACACAATCATCTGCCGGTATCCACCAACCATTCTTCTCCCATCGCAAACCCCGCCTTTTAGCCTCCTTCTTTTGAGCTTGTCTTTTCTTTACACAAGGCTCGCACTTACATTGATTTGCCTTTCGGGCCCGTGCTTTGCGTCGTCTCTTGGTCGTCCGTTTCCTTACTATCGACTTCAGCTTTGGCCCACAACCTTTTGGCCAATCTTGTACCCATGATGGCCGGTAAATAGGACTAGATGGCGCCTCAAACATGTTTTCCAGCCAAATATCGAGACCATCGCCATCATCATCGTCTGACTTACCGGGGTTGATGACCACTTCCGTATCATTCCCCTCCTCTTCGAGACTTTCCTTGTCCTCAAGGATTAAGAAGTTAAGCTCTCTTTCATCCTCATGGCCATTAGCATTGATCACCATTGCTTCTCGGGTTTGTACGAGTTGTCTTTCATACTCCTCCTTTTGCCCGTACATCTCCTCCAAATATTCTTGCTCCCATGGTGTCAAATCTCTTTCTAAACCTTCCAAATATTCGAGATCTTCTTGATCCCACTCATCTATTGGCTCAAATATCATGTTTTTTTTTTTTTTTTTGACTCTAAATATTCGAAAAATAAATGGGAAAAAATTCGAAAATTCGAATCCCCAACAAGACTAAAAAAATCGAAACAAAGAGAAATTCGGCCCCTCAACAAAAGGTAATAACCGAAAAAAAAATAACAAAGGACTAACAAGATGAAACTTTTTTTTTTTAATGAAATTTCGAAAAATTCGAAAATTTCGACTCAAAAAATAAGAGAAATTCGGTTCCCTCACCAAAAGGCAAAACCGAAAAAAATAAAGATAAGA